GTATGGGCGGGGAAAGGTGTGGCCACATCAAATTCAGATGTGACCTCAGCGGATGCAGATGTGACCTCTTCCAGGTGTCCCAGTTGCCTAGGTAACGCAGGTATTGGGTGGAGACTTTGCTGCGAGGAGGGTGGAGTCTGCTTGCCATCCAGGGGCAGACCTTACATGCATGCTAAGCAAGCACCCTAAGGTTGAGGACCCTGTCTCTGTGGGAGCCTACCTGCCTGTCTTCCTCCCTCCCTCCCTCCCTCCCTCCCTCCCTTCCTTCCGTGCTTCTCTCTCTCTCTCTCTCTCTCTCTCTCTCTCTCTCAGATTTTTGAGGCAGTGTCTCTCTTTATAGTCCAAGCTGGTCTGGAACTTGTAACCTTGCACCTCAGCCTCCCAAGCACTGGGATTACAGGCATGCACTACTATGCCCAGCTCAGTGCCAGCTTTTTTTTTTTTTTTGTCTTCCCTGCAGCAAAGCTTGGAGCTTCAGGTAGACAGGGTGTCCTCTGAGTCAGCCAGCCATGGGAATTGCAGTGGGATTTGGAGAGCAAACCTGGGACCCACTGTTCTCTCTTCTTTCCACCAGCTTGGGGATGTGTGGTACAAGCCGAACTGCAAAGAGATCTGCGAATGTGGCAGCAACCACAAAATTCGCTGCCATGCCTGGAATTGTACGGCCCAGGAGACCTGCAGATGGAAAGACGGCAGCTATGGCTGCCATGCCTTAAGTGAGCAGTTAGACAGGGCGGGAGCAGAGGAAGGCCAGAAGTAGCTTCCCCAGAGAGCCAAGGCCCAGCCACCATTAGTCAGCCGTTACTTGAGATAGAGCAACTTAAAGAAAGGGGGAGGGGCATTCTATTATTCACTTTAGTTTCTTTTATTTCAGGGAAGTTGAGCTCAGGGCCTTATGTGTACTAGGTAGGCGCTCTACCACTTGAGCCATGATCCTAGCCCCCTTTTTCCATTGGTATTTTCAAAGGAGAGTCTCACTTTCTGCCAGGGCTGGCCTAGGCTAGCGATCCTCCTACTTGGGCCTCCTCCTTCATGCCCGGTGGCTGAGGATAACAGGCACTCACCACTATACCCAGTCATTGAAAGAGATGGAGTCTGGGGAACTTTTGTTGGTGGTGGTGGTGGTGGTCATGGGGCTTAAACTCTGAGCCTGGGCACTGTCCCTTAGCTCTTCAGGTCAAGGCGAGTGCTCTACCACTCGAGCTACAGTGCCACTTCAGGCTTTTTCTCTTTATGTGGTGCTGAGGAATTGAACCAGGGCCACATGCATTCAAGGCAAGTGTTCTACCACTGAGCCACCTTTTCTAGGGAACTTCTGTACCTGGCCTTGTGAACCTTGATTCCACCCCCTGCTTTATGTCCACCTCCCAGGTAGCTGAGATTACAGATGTGAGCCACGGCCTGGCTAGGAAAGGTTCATTTTAGCTCCTAGCTTTGGAGTTTTCAGTCCATGGAGTTGTCCTGGTCCTGTAGGAAAGCTGCACATTATGGCTGGGGAATGTTATGGCCACACCCCAGTGACCTAAAGACCTCGCATTAAATCCCGTCCCTTAATATTTCCACCACCTCCCAATAGTACCACACTGGGACGAAGGCTCTGGACCTTTGGTGGAACATTCCATATCTAAAGGCTAGAGGCTGCTAGATAATTACCTGGGCAGGAGAAGCATCATCAAGGGCTCTGAGAATGAGTCAGGGAGACCCATCCCCTTCCTCAATATCTGTGAGCCAGCCACACTTCCTAGAACAGCAAGTTCAAGGATGGACCATGGGTACCAGCCCGATAGAAGCCTACCAAGACTGCATGGGGCTGCCAGGGCAAGGAGACTTGGACACCTGTCTTCCCCTTCCCCTCCGCAGGTGCAGGCACCTGCCTTGTCTCTGGTGACCCTCATTACCTGACCTTCGATGGAGCCCTTCACCACTTCACAGGCACCTGTAATTATGTCCTGTCCAAGCCCTGCTGGACAGGCTTCCAGGACAACTACTTTGTGGTGAGCGCCTCCAATGAGAACCGTGGCGGGAGCCTAGAGGCATCATACATCAAAGCTGTGCACTTGGTGGTCTTCGACCTCAGGATCTCACTGTTCAAAGGCTACACGGTCACGGTGTGTGCGCCTCCACCTCTCAGACCCCACACTAACCAGCCTGCCTGCCCACCTGCCAGGCACCTGCCTCCTTCCTCCCTCCCTCCGCTCCTTCTTTCCTTCCTTATTTTTCCTCCTTCCTTCCTTCTTTTCCTTCTTTATCCCTCTTTCCTTCCCTCCTCTCTCTCTCTTTCTTTCTCTCTCTCTCCTTCCTTCCTTCCTTCCTTTCCTTCTTTCCTTCCTTCCTTTCCTTCCTTCCTCCCTTCCTCCCTTTCTTTCTTTCTTTCTTTCTTTCTTTCTTTCTTTCTTTCTTTCTTTCTTTCTTTCTTTCTTTCTTTCTTTCTTTTTCTTTCCCTAGGGCTTGAACTCAGGCTTTGGCACTGTCCCTGAGGGCTATTTGTTTTTTTTGTTTTTCTTTTTTTTGGGGGGGTTGGTCTTGGGGCTTGAAGTCTGAGCCTGAATGCTGTCTCTCAGCTCTTCAGCTCAAGGCAAGCACTCTACCACTTTGAGCCACTGCACCACTTTCAGTTTTCTAAGTGTTTTATTGGAGATAAGAGCCTCACGGACTTTCCTGCCTAGGCTGGCTTTGAACCACTGATTCTCAGATCTCAGCCTCCTGAGTAGCTAGGATTACAGGCATGAGCCACCAGTGCCCCAGCTTTGTCCGAGTTTTTTGTGCTCAAAACTAGGGCTGCGAGGCGCCGGTAGAGTACCCCATGACCGACAAAAAAAGGGGGGGCTAGTGCTCTACCACTTGAGCCACAGCTCTGGGTCCAGCTTTTTGGTGGTTCATTGGAGATAAGCATCTCAAGGACCTTCCAGCCCTCTCTGGCTTTGAACCAAGGTCCTCAGTTCTCAGCCCCCTGAATAGCTAGGATGACAGGCATGAGCCGCCAGCATTCATCCTTCCAACCTCTCCTCCTCCTGGCAAGGCACCCAAGATCCCTTTTTGCTCTCCAGATGTCGTCCCCATGCCCAGTTCCTGACTATCCAACTTCCTATGCAGGTGGAGGGCCGCCAGGTGGCCCTGCCTGTGTGGCTCTTTCAGGACCGGGTGACCATTCGGTTCAGCGGCTCCTTCATCCTGTTCCACACTGACTTCGGGCTGCAGGTCCGCTACGACGGGAACCACCTGGTTATGGTGTCCGTGCCCTCCTCCTACGCAGGCCGGCTGTGTGGGATGTGTGGTGAGCTCCCGGGGCACCCTGGGGGGCCCTCCTGGCCCCATGAGGAACCCCAAGGACTTATTTCTCTGCTGATGACTGGGATTGAGGATATATACTGGACATGAAGCATAGAGTGAGGGAGGGCAGAGGAGAAGGAAGGGGGAAATCATGGGAACAGACCTGGTCTAATGGAGCAGAGGTGACCCCCCCCCAGTCGGCATCTGTCCCCAGCTTCTCTTACATCTCTTGTCACCTCCCCACTCCCATAGGAAACTACAACAACAATAGCTTGGATGACAACCTAAAGCCTGACAAAAGGCCAGCCAGCAACTCCTCTCAGCTAGGGGCTAGTTGGAAGATAGCCGAGTCCTCTGACCCGGGGTAAGCTGGGAACAGGGTGGAAAAATGCTTCAGGGAACAGCCTACAAGTATCCCTCTGTTCAAAAACAGCATAAAACCCGCCAAATCTCTTCTTCATTCTCTCTGAGATGGGAATTCTTCCTTCCTTCCTTCCTTCCTTCCTTCCTTCCTTTCTTCCTTTCTTTCTTTCTTTCTTTCTCTCTTTCTTGTCAGCTGTGGGGCTTGAACTCTGGACCTGGGCACTGTCCCTCAGCTCTTCAGCTCAAGGCTACCACTCTACCACTTGAGCCACAGCACCACTTGCAGTTTTCTGGTGGTTTATTGAAGATAGGAGTCTCATGGACTTTCCTGCCTGGGCTGGCTTTGAACACAATCCTCAGATATCAGCCTCCTGAGTAACTAGGATTATAGGCGTGAGCCACAGGCTCCCAGCTAAGATGGGAGTTTTTTGAGGTGTTTTTTTTGGGGGTCCAGTCGTGGGGCCTGAACTCTGGGCACAGCACAGCTCAAGGCTAGCGCTCTGCCACTTGAGCCACAGCACTATTTCCGGCTTTTTTCTTTTTGCTTATGTGGTGCTGAGGAATCGAACCCAGGGTCTCATGCATGCAAGGCAAGCGCTCTACCACTGAGCCACCTTCCCAGCCCCAAGATGGGAGTTTTTGAAAAGTTGTCTCGATGTCTTTGGCAAGCCCACCTTGGGAAGTTCCTCCTGATAGCTAGCCTTACTCCTTCTGGCTGCATCTGCTAGCCTTTCTACTTTCTACTCAGGAGGTAGAGAGATCTGAGGATTGTAGCACCATTTCCTTTTCTTCCCTTGCTCCCTGGTTGGCTCTCCACACTTCTTCAGTGGGGGGACATGTCTCCTGCCCTGAGTTTCCATCCTTCCTTCTCTTCCTCCACAGCTGCTTTGTGACAGGTAGCAGCCCCGTCAACTGCCAAGACACCAGCACTTCCACCATCTGGAATAAGAACTGTGGCATCCTCCTGAACCCCATGGGTAAGACGCATCCCTGCGGGCCCTGTCCTCCCCTGCACACAGCACACCAGAACACAAAGGTGCCAAGGGCTCACGCCTGTCATCCCAGCTACTCAGGAGGCTGAGATCTGAGGATCATGGTTCAAAGCCAAGCCAGGCAGGAAGGTCCATGAGACTGTCTCCAATGCATCTCCAAAAAGCCAGGAGTGGAGCTATGGCTCAAGTGGTAGAACACTAGCCTTGAGCAAAAAGAGCCAAGCATGAGTTCAAGGTCCTGAGTTCAAGCCCTGGTGCACATGCGCGCGCGCGCACACACACACACACACACACACACACACACACACTCAGTCACTCACATAAACCACTTGCATAGGAGTTGAGAGACCCCAGCTCACTTCCTGGGCTCACCCTTGTCTCCTCCACCTGTTTCACCCCCCAGGGCCTTTCGCCAGCTGTCACCTGATGGTGTCTCCACAGCCAAGCTTTGCCAGTTGTGTGCACAGCCAGTGTGAAAGCAAGGGCAATGCCCTGTCTCTGTGCCACTCCCTGCAGGCCTACGCCAGCCTGTGCGCCCAGGCTGGCCAGGCGGTGGCCTGGCGCAACAACACCTTCTGCCGTGAGTGACTTGACCTGCACCCACACGCTCACACGGAACTGTCCTCCCTCCCCGCCCTGCTCCCTCCAGCCCCGCTCAGCTTTTTTTCTTTGTGCCTAGCAACAACTTCAACCTGGGGCTAGGTACGTGGCTGAGTGGTAGAGTGCTTGCCTAGCATGCATATAGCCCTGGGTACCATTCCTCAGTACCACATAAACAGACAAAAGCTGGAAGTGGCATTGTGGCTCAAGTGGCAGAATGCTAGCTTTGAGCACAGAGAGGCTCAGGGATAAAGCCCACGCCCTGAGTTCAAGCCCCATGACCAACAAAACAAGCAAACAAAAACTTCATCCTTGCCAGGTACCAGTGGCTCATGTCTGTAACTCTAGCTACTCAGGAGGCTGAGATCTGAGGATCAAGGTTCAAAGCCACCCTGGGCAGGAAAGACTGTGAGACTCTTACCTACAATAAATGACCAGAAAACCAGAACTGGCACTGTAGCTCAAGTGGTACAGTGCTAGCCTTGAGCTGAAGAGCTGAGGGATAGTGCCCAGGCCCAGAGTTCAAGCCCCACGATCGACCTAAAAACAAAACAAAACAAAAAACTTCATCTTTGTTGGACACCAGTAACTCACACCTATAACCCTAGCTCCTCAGGAGGCTGAAATCTGAGGGTTGTATTTTGAAGCTAGCCCAGGCAGAAAAGTCTGAGATGAGAGTCTTATCTCCAATGAGCCATCAGAAAACCAGAAGTGGTGCAGTGGCTCAAAGTGGTAGAAAGCTAGCCTTGAGCAAAAGAACTCAAGGATAGCGCCCAGGCCCTGAGTTCAAGCCCCATGACCAAAACCAAACCAAACCAAAACAACAAAATCCTTCAACCTTTATTGAGCTCCTGCTTCTTTTACCTGGGTCAACACTGTTCTCTCTTCCTCTTTCCCAGAAATTGTTTATTTTTGCAATTATGGTAATATGTACATAATATAAAAATTACCATTTTAAGCCAAGTAGGGTGGTTTAAGACTATAGTGCCAGTTACTTAAGAGGGAGAGATTGGGAGCTAGAGGTTTGAGGCTAGCCAGGGTATAAAGTTTCAAGAGGAGCAGCAGAAAAAAAAAAAAGGAAAAAAAAGTTTAAGAAACTTCACCTCAACAAATGGCAGGGTGTGGTGGTATGCACATCAACAAGGGGAAACACAAATAGGAGGATCACACCAGGGATAGCCGGTGTAATATGAGAGACTGCTTTGAAAATAATCCAAATTGGGGCTGGGAAGGTGGCTCAGTGGTAGAGCGCTTGTCTTGCATGCATGAGGCCCTGGGTTCGATTCCTCAGCACCACATAAGCAGAAAAAAGCTGGAAGTGGCTCTGTGGCTCAAGTGGTAGAGCGCTAGCCTTGAGCTGAAGAGCTGAGGGACAGTGCCCAGGCCCAGAGTTCAGGCCCCACAACTGGCAAAAAAAAAAAAAAAGAAAGAAAATAATCCAAATTAAAAAGGGAACTGGGAGTATGGCTCAAGTGGTAAAGCATCTCCCTAGCAAACACGAAGCCCTGAGTTCAACCACCCCCCAAAATAAAATGCCATCTGAATGTTATAGTGGTTAGTGGGGGGCGGGGGCTTGAACTCAGGGACTGGACACTGTCCCTGAGCACTTTTGCTCAAGGCTAGCACTCTACCACTTTGAGTCACAGTGCCACTTCTGGTTTTCTGATGGTTCATTAGAGATAAAGGTCTCATGGACTTCCCTGCCCTGGCTGGCTTCAAACCATAATCGTTAGACCTCAGCCTCCTGGGCAGCTGGGATTACAAGCATGAGCTTGTCCAGCTCATCTATGTTAGTTATTTTCCAGAGAAGTTCTCACTTTATCCAGCCTGGACTGTGATCTTTCTATTTGTGTTTTTCTTTATCACTGGGATGACAGGTGCACAGCACCAAACCCAGCCATGGGTGGGTATGGAGTCTCAGGACTTTTCCTTTTTCTTTCTTTCTTTTTTTTTAATTCCAGCCTGGCTTGATCTCTGTCTCCCAAGTAGCTAGGATTATAGGTTTGAGCCACTGTACCAGCTGACAGCTTTCCTTTTTAAGACTGAATATTCGTCCACTGTAGGGCTGATTGTGATGATACAGCCTGTAATCACATCAACTTAGAAGGCAGAGGTGAAAGATCAAGGTCTGAGACCACCCCTGGGAAAAATCGAGAATCCATTGTGTGGACACATGGTAATCTGTCCGAAGTGGCCCTCAGGAACTCTCCTCCTAACTCTTCCTTCCACCTATGTCCTCCTCAGCTCTGAAGTGTCTGCCAAACAGCAGCTACAAGCCCTGTGCCAACCCCTGCCCAGATGCCTGCCTCTCTCTGAACTCCCCAACATACTGCCCTGTGCTACCCTGTGTAGAGGGCTGTGAATGCCAGAGAGGATACATCCTGAGCGGACATTCCTGTGTACCTCCCAGCTACTGTGGCTGCAGGGACCCGGAGGGCTTCTACCATATGGTGAGTGCCCTGACCCCCTGCAGGCTGTGTCCTGCAACTTCCTGCTCACAAGTGACAGGGGATCTGGAGATCTCAAGGAGGGCTCAGAGACTGAGAAAGGTAGGACTGGCTATGGTAGGCCAGGGTTGGCCAAGATGGGGTGAGGACCAAGGCCTGACACATTTAAGAGGCTGATGCTGGGAAGGGAAGCCTCCCCATCTCTAGCTTCTGAGTTCCTATTGGCTCTGCTGATCCCTGTGCCCAGGGGAGGGCTTCACCCATCTCCAGCTTCTGAGTTCCTATTGGCTGAGTTCTACTGGTCCTGGGTCTGCAGGTGGGGGAGAGCTGGTACCCAGAGAAGACCTGCCGCGTTCTCTGCAACTGCTGGATCAGCAACAACATCACTTGCGGTCCTGCAGCCTGCGAGGCCAGCCAGATGTGCTCCTCTCAGGATGGCCTGTTCCACTGCCAGACCATAGGTAGGAGGGCTGCCCCACAGCTACCAAGAGCAATCCTCCCAAGGCCTCCCAGCCTCTGCCTCTCACATTCCTCTGTAGCCCTCAGGTCCAGGTTGGCACACTGGTAATACCAAAGAAGTTTTGGCCTCCCGCTGCCAGGGAGGGCTTTGTGGAGTTTTCCCACTCTTGCAGTTATCTTTGACTGCTGTATTAGAATGCCTGAGGCTAGATGACTTATAAAGCAAGCCCTGTACTTCTTGAGCAATATCCCTTCTGGAAATGTATTTGTTCCCCCACATCCTCCAATGGATCTGAGCATAGACCCCAGGGTATCAAGCATGCTAGGCAAGCCAATGTGCTATTAAGCTATATCCCCAACCCAGGAAATTGTGTGTGTGTGTGTGTGTGTGTGTGTGTACACATTTATTTTTGTGCTGTTCCTGGGGCTTGAATTCAGGGCCTGTCTCTTAGCTTTTTTATTTTTTGCTTAATGCTGGCACTCTACCACTTGAGCCTATCTCTACTTCCAGCTTTTTGCTAGTTAATTGGAACTAAGAATCCCGTGGACCTTCCTGTCTACGCTGGCTTCAAACTGTGATCTTCAGATCTCAGCCTCCTGAGTAGCTAAGATTATAGGCGTGAGCCGCCAATGCCAGGCTTGGAAATGTATTTCTTATAGTTCATGAGGCTGGGAGGTTCTAGGAGGAGAGGCTGCATGTGACAAGGGCCTTCTTGCTGGTCTCTGACATCACTGGGTGGGTTATAAAGATGCCCAAACTGGCTTTTTTTTGTTACAGGCCCAGTCCCTTAATAACTGGTTATCCATCCCTGGGTAATCCATTAGTCCATTAATCTATGCGTCTGTGAACCACAGATGAAGGTAGAATGCCCATGAGACAATCACCTTCGAAATATATTTCACCCCTAATTTAAGGGATGGAGTCCTCACTGCCTGGATTCTGAGGGTGAAATAGCAGAGCACCATTGTCCATCCCTCTTCCTACAATGGTCAGGAACCCCCATGGGACATTATAAATGCTGTGCTAGCCAAATTGTACCTCATCCACTCCCAGGCCTTCCTGCAGCAGACCCTGGGAGGTTGGTTCTTTTCCTGGCCCGGGGTCTCCTTACCTCTTGGCTATCTCTGGCCACAAACTTAAGATCTTCCTGCCTCTCTGCCTCTTGAGTGCTGGGATTACAGGCATAAACCACCACACCCTGCTTTAAAGCAGAGAGAACCCAAGCCCATTTTCCTCTAGGGACCCTATTCTTGCCAGAGCTAGTAAGACGATCCCCCAGGCACCTGTCCCTTCTCCTAGGCACAGGAGTGTGTCACGTCTCTGAGGATGTGAGGTATGTGAGCTTTGATGGCGTTGGTCAGCCCATATTTGGAACGTGCACACATATCCTGGTGAAAGTATGCGACCCCAGCTCGAAGTTGCCATTCTTTGAGATCAGTGCCAAGAGTGAGAGTCAAGAAGGCAAGCCCTTTCGCATCTTCCGTGTCTACATAACTGTCTTCAGCTACCAAATCTCCTTGCAAAAGGGACACTCAGTGATGGTGAGCCCCCCACGCATGGCCCTAGGGGGAGAGAACCCAGAGCCTTCCTCCTGCTTACTGCCCTGCTCTCCTCTTCAGGTCAATGATGAGCCAGTCACCCTTCCTACCAACTCCAAGATCCACGGGGTCAAAATCACTTCCAGCGGAGACTACACCCTGGTCGACATTAAGAATGGAGTACAGGTCAAATATGGTGGCGATCATTTCTTGGAGATCAAAGTCCCAGCAGCCTATCACAAAAAGGCAAGAAATGCCTGGCTCCGCCCCATCCCACCACACCCAAGTGGTCTCTGCAGGAAGTGGAGCTGCTGAGTGTGCTTTCACAAGGACACACCAACAAAAAATGCTCTTAGAGCTGGCTGTGGTGCTTCACGCCTGTAATCCCAGTTCTCAAGAGGTTGGGGCAAAAGGATCCTGAGTTTGGGGCCAGCTTGGGTTACTTAGTGAGGCTTTGTTGAGAGAGAGAAGCGGAGGGAAGGAGGGAGAAAGAGGGAGAGAGAGAAGGAAGGGAGAAAGGAAGGAAGAAGGAGAGGGGAAGATAGGAGGGAAGAAGGAAGGAAAAAAGGATGAAGGGAGGAAGGAAAGAAGTAAGAAGGGAAGGAAAGAAGAAGGGGCCAGGCACTGGTGGCTCATGCCTGTAATCCTAGCTACTCAGGAGGCTGAGATCTGAGGATTGTGGTTCAAAGCCAGCTCAAGCAGGAAAGTCCATGAGACTCTTATCTCCAATAAACTACTCAGAAAAAGCCAGAAGTGGTGCTGTGGATCAAATGGTAGAGCATTAGCCTTGAGTAGCACAAAGAGGCTCAGGGACAGTGCCCAGGCCCTGAGTTCAAGCCCTAAGACCACCAAAAAAAAAAAAAAAAGCAAGAAGGGAAGGAAGGAAGGAGCTGTTAGGCCTGTTAACTCTCAAAGTCCATCTGTCCACCTAGCTATGTGGTGTGTGTGGGAACTTCAACGGCCAGAAAGAAGATGACCTAATGATGCCCAATAATGAATTAGCTGAGGAAGCCCACGACTTCATGGACAGCTGGCAAAACCGTGACATCGACCCAACGTAAAGAGCCCTGAATACTGACCCAATGTGTGTGTGTGTGTGTGTGTGTGTGTGTGTGTGTGTGCTAGTTTGGGGGCTTGAATTCAGGGTCTTGAGCTGTCTTTGAGCTTTTTTTGCTCAAGGCTGGAGCTCTACCACTTCAGCCACGCTACCACTTACAGATTTGGGGTGACTTAATGGGAGTAAGCGTCTCATGGACTTTCCTGCCCAGTGTGGCTTCGAACCGTGATTCTCAAATCTCATCCTCCTGAGTAGCTAGGACTATAGAACTGAATCACAGACACCTAGCAACTGCCCTCTTCCCTCCCACCCCCCACCGCCCCTTGCATGCTTGCTTGCTTGCTTGCCAGTCCTGGGGTTTGAACTTAGGGCCTGGGAACTGTCCCCAAGCCTCTCTGTGCTCAAGGCTAGCATCCTATCATTTGAGCCACAGCGCCACTTCCAGCTTTTCTGTTTATGTGGTGCTGAGGAACCCAGGGCTTCATGCATGCTAGGCAAGCACTCTACCACTAAGCCACATTCCCAACCCAACTGTTCACTTCCCTCCTCCCTACCCCTGCCAGTCAGCCTCAGCTGGGAAGGGAAGACCACACATTCCACTGTGTGTGAGAGTAGGGGGTAAGAGAGTTCTTTGCATCCCAGAGCTTCTGGAACCTTCACTGGGAAAAATGTGAAAGCCTTCCCTTCTTAGAAACCTGAGAGGCGATCAAGGCTGTTTGGGAGGTCCCCCTGAGCTCAGACCAGCTTCCCCATGAAGCAAGGGGGGCTGGATCCTCCAGAGTTCTCTGTGGGGGGTAGGTGGACTGAGCAGTGGCCAATCCTACACTAATGCCCAACACCTCTTGTCTCAGTTGCCAGGCCCCGGAAGAGTTCACGCAAGTGGAAGTAGAGGAGACCACGCATGAGAAATGCCGGCCAGCCGACCTGGGCAAAGCCCGGCAAGCCTGCCAGGAGGCTCTGCAGACCCCAGCCTGGGCTGAGTGTGCCACGAGGGTGGACGTCAAGCCCTACATCTTGGGCTGCATAGACAAGATCTGTGAGTTTGGGGGGCGCTCCAGTGGCCTCGTCCACACCCTCTGTGAAACCCTCCAGGGCTTCGAGTCTGCCTGCCGCAATGAGGGCCTCAAGACTCCCATCTGGAGGAATAGCACCTTCTGCCGTGAGTGTCCCCTGTGCGCACCCCAAACTCTGCCTCTCCCAAAGAGCTCCCTCATCCTCCGCCAAGCCCCTGTCACCACTGCCCCTCCCGTCAGGACAGCGCCCTGCAGGCTGATTGTTTTCTCTGTGTGTGTGTGTGTGTGTGTGTGTGTGTGTGTGTGTGCGCGTGTGTGCTCACTGGCCAGTACTCAGACTTGAATTCAGAACCAGGGTGTGCTGAGTTCTCAAAATTCCTTTTGATGCTCTACTACCTGAGCCACAACTCTACCTGTGGCTTTTTGGTGGTCAATTGGAGATAAAGGAGTCTCTCGGACTTTCCTGCCTAGGCTGGCTTCAAACTGCCAGCCTCAGATCTCAGCCTCCTTAGTAGCTGGGATTCCAGGTGTGAGCCATCAGAGGCAGAGAGAGCGCCGTGCTTATTGCTCCAGTCCTTGGCCTGGCACACAGCACGTGCACAATCATTACTTGCCTAATGGATAATAAAGGAAGCCCCCAGCCCAAGACGTATTGATGGCTCCTCTCCCACCCTCCACCCCCCTGCAGTCTGGTTTCTACAGCTCCTGCCTTCTCTTGCCTCTCCACTCACACCCCCCATCTCTTGTCCATCCCACAGCTCTGGAATGCCCAGTTAACAGCCGATACTCTAATTGCCTTCCGTCCTGCACACCATCCTGCCGGGAGCTGGATTGTGAGAGCGCAGCGGTCAGAGTCCCCCTCACCTGCACGGAGGGGTGCATCTGCCAGACAGACTATGTGCTGAACGAGGGCCAGTGTGTGCCCAAGAGCTCCTGTGACTGCAGAACTGCCGAGGGGGCGGTCATCGCCGTGAGTGGGCACACAGGCCAGATTAGGGAGGGGAGGCTTTGAACATGGCATTTCCTTCTGTCTTCGCTGGACCTGGGATTTGATTGACACTACAGTTGCTCCTGGGTAGATTGGAAAGAGCAGAGCCTGGGTGTAGGATGACCTCTGGGGCCTCAGTTACCTCATCTGTAAAATGGGTCTGGTACAATGGCAAGAACATTGCTTTTGAGGCACCAAGATCCAAAGGGCAGCCAGGCACTGGTGGCTCACGTCTGTGATCTCAGCTACTCAGGAGGCTGAGATCTAAGGATCACATGTTAAAGCCAGCCTGGGCAGGAAAGCCCAGGAGACTATTATCTCCAATTAACCAGCAAAAAGCCAGAAGTAGAGCTGTGGCTCAAGTGATAGAGTGCCACTCTGAGGGAAAAAGCCAAGTGAGAGGGCAGGTCCTTGAGTTCAAGCCCTGCATACACACACAGACACAGACACACAGACACACAGACACACAGACACACACACACACACACACACACACACACACACACTCTGAACTGTTTTTGGCTGGAGTCAATTATATTAGACTCTAGGTGTCTATGGGGTGATGAGTTCTAGGACCTTCCAAAGATACCAAAATCCATACTTTTCAAGCCTCATAGTAGTTGCATAAAAAAAATTTTTTTTGGGTCCGGTCATGGGGCCTGAATTCTGGGCCTGGGCGCTGTCCCTCAGCCCTTCAGCTCAAGGCTAGTGTTCTACCACTTGAGCCGCAGCGCCACTTCCGGCTTTTTTTTTTCTGCTTATATGGTGCTGAGGAATCGAACCCAGGGCCACATGCATGCAAGGCAAGCGCTCTACCACCAAGCCACCTTCCCAGCCCCACTTCTAGCTTTTTCTGTTTATGTGGTGCTAAGGAATTAAACTCAGGGCTTTGTGTATGCTAGACAAGAATTCTACCACTAAGCCACATTCCTAGACCCTGAGCAAAAAAATTTAAGAATAGTGTCCAGGCCCTAAGTTCACTTCCCAGGAGTGGCACACACACACACACACACAAAAGCATTTACAGTTTTTCTTATATGGTTTTAATTATCTCTGTTTAATACAATGTAAATCTCATGCAAATAGTTGATCTGCTGTATTGTTTAGGAAATAATGACAAGAAAGAATTACTTATGTAAGTCCTTCTGCTAGACATGAAACCCAAAATCTTCTGCATGCTAGGCAAACACTCTGCCTTCAGCTCCAGATGCCATTAGTTGTATGTTTATACTGGGACTTGATTAAGGGCCTAGCTACTGTCCCATAGCTTTCTCTGCTCAAGACTGGCACTCTACTGCTTGAGCTCTACTTCTGGATTTTTGGTGTTTCATTGGAAACAAGAGTCTCCTGGACTTTTCTGCCCAGGCTGGCTTTGAACCATGATCCTCAGATCTTAGCCTCTTTAGTAGCGAGGATGACAGGTATGAGTCACCAGTGGTGCCTGGCTAGTTTTTTTTTTTTTTTTCATGATTGTGGTTGACTCACTCAGTGTGAAACCACAGACAACTGGGGGCATCTGTAAACACTTTAGATCGGGGTGAGGGTTGAGAGAGTCTTGACCTTTCCCTCCTCACTCTCCTCTTCTCCCCGTGGTTTCTGCAGGTGAACAAAACTTGGATCTCTAGTGGCTGTACCCAGAAGTGCATGTGTTCGGAAGGGAGGGTTCAGTGTCGTTCCTTCCAGTGCCCCTATGGGTCCCATTGCCAGAATGGGGAAAACGACAACAGTTTCTGTGCTGCTGACAGTAAGGGAGCCGTGGGGCCCAGCACGTGGAGGTGGAGCGGGAAACTAAGATCTGGGAAACTTGGCTTCACATTGGGGTTTTTGCCACCACTGATCATGTGCTAGTTACTAATCCTTTCTAGAAGAGGCTGAATGGATTTTCTGTGTGTGTGTGTGTGTGTGTGTGTGTGTGTGTTGGTACCGGGGCTTGAACTCAGGGCATTGTCATTTAGCTTTTTCACTCAAGGTTGGCACTCTACCCCTTGAGCCATAGCTCCACTTTTTGGCTTTCTGCTGGTTTATTGGAGCTTTGAACTGTGATCCTCAGCTCTCAGCCCTCAGCCACCTGCGTAGCTAGGATTACAGGTGTGAGCCATTGGCACATGGTCCAGATTAAGGTTTTAATGGGGGTAAGGGAGGAGAGAAAGAAAGCTGAAGCCCTCCAAGGCTGGTGGGCCTCACTGGAAGGCCACAGCGGGAGTCGTGGTCAGGGGAAGGATTCTGAGGGCTCAGTGCTGGGCACTGAGTGTTTGCTTTTCTTTGCAGAGTCGGATCAGTGCACAATCTTAGGAGACCCCTATTACCGCACGTTTGACCGCTTCGGGTACCATTTCCCAGGCCGAATGACCTATATCCTCGTAAAGACAGTGGAAAGCCTGCCCGAGGGCTTAGAGAGCCTGCTTGTGGAGGGGCGGAACAAGCTGACGAAGTCCTCCAGTCCCACCCTCTACGAAGTGATCATTATGGTCTATGGCTATAAAGTCCAACTCCAAACAAACCTGGAGCTTGTGGTTCGTAAGAGGGTCTGGGAAGAGAGCTGGGCCATGGAGTCACGTGGAGCCTGTGGGGCCAGGGCAGACAGGCATCGTCATGAAAGGGGGCCACAGGGGGTGGGCTGGAGAAGGGCAGGGGGGTTGAGCGAGAGGCACAGGAAAGACAAGGGAGAAAAGGGGCATTTTGAATGGTATGTGAGAGGTTTAGTAAATTATTTTGTTGTTGTTGCAGTTATTTTGCCCATATTGAGGCAATTGGCTTTTGTTGTTGTCAGTCATGGGGCTTGAACTCTGGGCCTAAGCGCTGTCCCTCAGCTCTTCAGCTCAAGGCTAGCGCTCTACCCACTTGAGCTACAGCGCCACTTCCGGTTTTCTAGTGGTTTATTGGAGAAAAGAGTTTCACGGACTTTCCTGCCCAGGCTGGCTTTGAACCGTGATCCTCAGATCTCAGCCTCCTGAGTAGCTAGGATGACAGGCATGATCCACCGGCGCCCCACCAATTGGCTTTTTCTTTTCTTTTCTTTTCTTTTTTTCTGTTGGTCATGGGGCTTCAACTCTGGGCCTGGACGCTGTCCCTCAGCTCTTCATCCCAAGGCTAGCTACAATACCACTTCCGGTTTTCTGGTAGTTTATTGGAAATAAGAGTCTCAGAGACTTTCCTGCCCAGGCTGGCTTTGAATGGTGATCCTCAGATCTCACCCTCCTGAGTAGCTAGGATGACAGGCGTGAGCCACGGGCGCCCAGCTGGCTTTTTTTTTTTTAAGTTGATGCTCTATCATTTGAGCCACACCTCCACTTCCAACTTTTTGCTGCTTAATTGCAGAGAAGAGTCTCATGAACTTTTCTGCCCTGGCTGGCTTTGAACCCTAATCCTCAGATCTCAGCCTCTCAAGTAGCTAAGATAACAGGCATGAGCCACCAGCACCTAGAGTGTGGATCCTTGATCTCTGTGGGTCTCTAGTTTGGAGGAGGAAGCAGTTTGAACACAACTAATAACTCAGGGCTGGCAGGCATCTCTGCTTTGCCTGAGCTGTATAATACACAGATAGCAGTTATATTTTGTCTATACTTGGTCAAAACCACATGCAAGCTGGGCACCAGTGGCTCACACCTGTCATCCTAGCAACTGAAGAGGCTGAGATCTGAGGATCCAGGTTTGCAGCCAGCCCAGGCAGACAAATCCAAGAGACTCTTCTCTAACCAGTGGGAACTCAAAAGTAGAGGTGGGGCTCAAGTAATACAGCACCAGCCAAGTAAGAGAGCCAGGCCCTGAGTTCAAGCCACATGCAAAAAATCAGCAAATAAGGCAGGCCTACTGTCCAGATAAAGCCAGCATGGGCAAGATCAGCAGAGAATCAGCTTGATCCAGCACATCCTGCATGCACTTCCAGTCTCCCCTATATTCCAGGTCAATGATCAGAAGATGAGCATCCCCTACACGCCCATTGAGGAGCTGGAGGTCACCCTGCGAGGTACTCGGATTTTTCTGATCACTGCATTTCAGCTGATCGTTAGCTACGATGGCAAGAATCTTGCAGGTAACCTCACAAAAGTGGAAAGTAGAGAATGGAAGGCACCTGTCTGCGTGGGGGAAGGAAAAGCCCAGCACAAACAGCCCAAGCTTTCGGGGGTAGGAAGAGGGGTGCCCTGCCAGGAAATGGGGGTTCACTTCAGGGGGTGTCCTGGCTCCTCTGTAGTGATCAACCTGCCTAGCACCTACCAGGGGCTGGTGCGTGGCCTGTGTGGGAACTACGACAGAGACAGGACAAACGACTTCATGCTACCCAGCGGCCGGGTCACCCAGAATATCCACGTGTTCGTCAGCAGCTGGACCGTGAATCCCCAGGACTCCCTCCTCCGCTTCCCAAGGTGAGGGCTGGGGTGCGGGGGACATGAGCAGAGCTCCAGGCACACACACACATTGCTTCCTGTCCTCGTGTCACTCGCATAGACACAGCTGGCCATGGGCTTCTCTCCTCCAGGGCCTTACCAGAGCAAGCAGAAGGAGAGGAGAAAGACGCACCTGCCATCCAGTCACAGTGCAGCCCAGAACAGCTGACTTTAATCCATGCTAGCCAGGCCTGTCGGGTATTGGTGGACCCCCAGGGTCCTTTTGCCACCTGTCACCAGATTATAGATCCAGAACCCTTCCAGGAGTGAGTTGAGGACTCAGGACTTGCAAAATCCATCCAGATAACCTACTCTGACCTACCTTCTTTCCTTCCTTCCGTCCTTCCAGCCTTGCTTCCTTTCCCTCCCTTCCTCCCTCCCTCTTTTCTTTCTTTTTCTCTTTCTTTCTCTTTCTCCCTTCCTTCCTTCCTTTCTTTCCTTCTGTCCTTCTGTCTTTCTTTCTTTTTGGTTGGTCATGGGGCTTGAACTCAGTGCCTACTTGCTGTCCCTGAGCTTTTTTGCTTACCACTTGAGCCACAACACCACTTCCAGTTTTCTGGTGTTTTTTTTTGGGGGGGGTCCAGTAATGGGGCCTGAACTCTGGGCCTGGGCGCTGTCCCTCAGCTCTTCAGTTCAAGGCTAGCGCTCTACCACTTGAGCCACAGCGCCACTTCCGGCTTTTCTCTTTTTGCTTATGTGGTGCTGAGGAATCGAACCCAGGGCCTCGAGCATGCAAGGCAAGCGCTCTACCACTGAGCCACCTTCCCAGCCCCAGTTTTCTGGTGTTTTATTGGAGATAAGTCTCACAGACTTTTCCTGCCTGGGCTGGCTTTGAACCATGATCCTCAGATCTCAGCCACCTGAGTAGCTAGGATGACACACGTGAGCCACCAGCGCCAGCTTCTACCCTGACCTTTCTAAGGATGCCACTCTGCACCCCTCCAGCTCTTCTCTGTGGCTCATTTCCTGGTGACCCTTCCTCAGCCCTATCTCGTGTCTTTCTGTGTGAATACCAAGCCCTTTTCTGCACAGCTGGGTCTCTTTGTCTCCCCCATGCTGACAGCCTCCTCTTCCCCACTCCCCCTTCCAATCCCCAGGCACTGTGTGTTTGATCTGTGTGCTGGTCAGGACCCCCAAGAACAAGAGGAGCTGCGCTGCCGGGCCCTCAGTGGGTATGCCATCATTTGTCAGGAGGCAGGTGCCAGCCTGGCCAGCTGGCGGAACCATACCCGCTGTGGTAAGACACTGCCCCTGCCCGGCAGCCGGCCCCATCCCTCTGCCATTCCACCTGGCTCAGTGCTGTTCCCACTACTACTCTCCCCTTGGACTTCCTGTCTTGTTTCTTTCCCCCATCCTTCAGTGTGCACTAACTTCAAGGTAGCACATGTTTCTAACCTGATCCCTTCTCTGCCCTCCTCTGGGAACCCCCTCCCTCCAGTTACCCCAGCTCTATTCCCACCCCTGAATACCTACCCCCTGCCCATCAATTTAGTTCCTTCCACTCCATCTCAGGTCCCAGATACAAATCCTCCCAACAGAGCCAGGTCACTTGCTTTGGCTCCCATTCCCCCAGGTAGTGTGCTCTGTGGGGTGACTTTGTACCCCTTCTTCCAGCTTTGGGCCCTGTTGCTTGTTTGTGCGGGGCCTTAACCACACCTGGTCCTGACTGTGCCTCTGTCCCTCAGCCATGGTGTGCCCGGCCAACACGGTGTACAAGAGCTGCATGACGCCCTGCCTGGCATCCTGTGCCAACCCGGCGGCCGCCAGGGGCTGTGAGGGTCCCTGCTTAGAAGGCTGTGCCAGCCTCCCCGGCCACATCTACAGTGGCACCAGGAGCCTCCCCAAGGCCCGCTGCGGCTGCACTGCCGCTGGCATCTATTACCAGGTCTGGGAGGCCGTGGGGAGACCTGGGAGCCCATGTGCAGACCTTGCTAATTTGGGGGTGAAACCAGTGCTAGTCTTTCCTGCCCTTCCCCCCCGCCCTTGCAGCTGGGTGACAGCTTTGTGACAGAGGACTGTGCCCAGCATTGTACCTGTGCCAGCTCGGGGCTCCTGCTGTGTGAGCCCTTTGGCTGCAGCGCTGGGGAGATCTGCACACTGGCCAACTTCACCCGAGGCTGCTTCCGAGGTGAGCCCTTGGCCCTGCTCTGTGCCAAACCCATGGATCACCCTCTTGCTGGATGCTAGACTAGTGCTCATGCCTATAATTCCAGCAACTCAGGAGGCTGAGATTCGAGGATCACTGTTTAAAGCCAGCCCGGGAACAAAAGTCTGTGAGACTCTTCTTTCCCATAAGAACCACTGAAACACCAAAGAATAGATAGAGCTGTGGCTCAAGCAGTAGAGCACCAACCTTGAGTGAAAATGCTAAAACACAGTGCCCAGGCCCAGAGTGTGAGCCCCAGTACTGGCCCCCCCCCAATCACAATAAAGGATTGTTGTTCCCTAAACATTTGAGCCCTTAATGTCCTCTGAGGGCCCGCACCCCTGGCACTGGATCCCCTGGCACAGCAGGTGGGAATCCAGTGGTTCAACAATTTCTCAGAGCCCAGGCTAGCCCTCTGAGAGCCTAGACTGCGGCCACTCTGTCCTGTCAGCGGCGGTCCCAGGACCCCTCACACCCTCTGTCCCTGCAGAAAGCCTGTGTCTGCGGAACCCGTGCCACAACGACGGACGCTGTCACGAGCAGGGAGCCAGCTTCACCTGCGAGTGTGACCCCGGCTACGGGGGGCGCCTCTGCACCGAGCCCTGGGACATCCTGGGCCCCCAAAAGCCAGGTGACGGCCACGTCCCGGACTTGTCCCCTGCTGGCGACTGCCACAGGATTAGCCTGTATATAATATCACACACACACATGACAGTACCGAGTATAGGTAGTTATTACACATGATGGATAGATCACAGACAGGAATACTAATGTATGTATTCTGTATATATTATATGATACTTTTAAATTATATATATATACATATATATATGCTTACATATTTACATTCTTTTATTTTTTTTGGCCAGCCTGGAGCTTGAACTCTGGGCCTGGCCTCTGTCCCTGCTATCTTTTGCACAAGGCTAGCACTCTACCGCTTGAGCCACAGCACCACTTCCAGCTTTTCCTGTGTATGTGGTACTGAGGAATCAAACCTATGTGAGGCAAGCACAATATCACTAAGCCACATTCCTAGCCCTAGATTTATATTCTGTTAAATATATATTGTGCATGTTATATAATTTTAATGAAAATATTGTATAATTATATAATATATAGGTCATGATTATGATTAAAATAATATATAATAGATTTATCTAGCTAGGCACCAGTGGCTCACACCTGTAATCCTAGCTACTCAGGTGGCTGAGATCTGAGGATCACGGTTCAAAGCCAGCCCAGGCAGGAAAGTCCATGAAACTCTTTTTTTTTTTTGTCGGTCGTGGGGCTTGAACTCTGGGCCTGGGCGCTGTCCCTCAGCTCTTCAGCTCAAGGCCAGCGCTCTACCACTTGAGC